ATAGACAGTTCTGCATGACAAAATAATATGAACAGCCTAGTCTACTACCTGAACCCGCAGTTCTTCAACACCAGGCAGCACAGGTACCGTACATATTGGAGAGCTGAGGATTGTCGATAACTTCTCTTTTGGAGAGCTGAGGATTGTCATTCACTTCTCTATTGGAGAGCTGGGGATTGTCATTCACTTCTCTACTTCTGATCTCCGTTTGTCATGAACAGTTGTGTTCATTACACGATCATGTCTTCTTGTGTTCGTTTGCTTTGGGTTCCGTGTATTCCTCTTTGTGCCAGGGTATGCCTTCTGGTTCATTTGGCCCTACGACGGCCGGCCGTATGGATAGCTATGTATCAAAGTTCCAGCAAGTCGGTGCCAGTATGATTATGCTGGCTAAGGGCAATAGAAGCAGACAGGTAAGGACCTCTCTGTGGGTGGATGTGTGTGTGTAGGTGTGGCTGTGTGTGTGTGTGTGTGTGTGTGTGTGTGTGTGTGTGTGTGTGTGTGTGTTCGGTTGGTGGGTACGCTTAGGCCAGATAGTGTTGGGTCTGTTGCCACCGGGCTCGGCTGCTTGAAGGTGTATTTTTGCACCTGCCACCAAGCAAGCAAGTATTACCTTCACTGGGGGCAGGGGTAACTGCAGTTGGATCCCCGGACGGATACCCTGATGCCGTCAATCCTTTTTCTGCACCTTGTCCTCGCCGACTTACTGAGGTGTAGTGAGCCCATAAGTGGGATCACTTTCAAGTCCACCCAGAGTTTGGGGATGTCAGGTGGTGTTGGGCGGTTCAATAGCCAATTGAGTCATCTTTCCAAGATGTTTTGAGTCTCTCTCCCCTCTCCCGGGGAGACCCACTGGACCAGTTTTGGCAGGGAGCGAGTGCAGTACAGTGTGTGTGTGTGTCTCTCTCTCTCTCTCTCTCTCGCTCTCTCTCTCTCTCTCTCTCGCTCTCGCTCTCTCTCTCTCTCTCTCTCTCTCTGTATAGATATGTGTCTGTGTGTGTATGTGTGCCGGTGGGCATTGTTCGCATACATACATACATACATACATACATACATACATACATACAAAGTCATCATGCAAGCAAGTGTTCACGTGAGAGGGACCCTGCAAGCAGACGCTGCTTGCCTGGTGGGGACATGGGAGCCTATAAGATCTTGTTCTGACCTGTTGTTGTCATCTTCGTTTGTTCTTGTTCTTGTTGTTGAAGGTCACCAAGTCCTGCAAGCAACACGGCGGCTTCTACCTTGGCAGTATCGGCGGACCAGCCGCATTGCTTGCGCAGGAGTCCATCAAGAAAGTTGAAGTACTCGAATATGCTGAGCTGGGCATGGAGGCTATCTGGAAGGTTGAGGTTGTCGACTTTCCCGCTTTCATCGTTGTCGACGACAAGGGAAACGATTTCTTTGAGAAATGGCAGGTGTAGGAGATGACGGGGAAGAAGGTCCCTGCCGAGCAAGGAATTCAGGTAGGCCCAGGCGTTGGGTTCCTCTACTGGTGTTAGCGTGTGAGTGTGTGGCGCATGCTGGCTGTGAAGCAACGTGCTGAAACAGACAAACACACACACGATGTGTACAGCGGGGGTGTGTGTGTGTTTGTGCATGTGAGCACACACACACACACACACACACACACACACACACACACACACACACACACACACACACACACACAAACACGCCCCTAACTGGACAGCGCACTATTTGAACGGTTTAGTATGGTGAAGTAATTGGAAGCTCCCCTCCACCATGTACTAGCTAGAATCCTGTAGCAACATCAGAGAGATCAACCTAAGCACTTGCCACTTGTCTGTGGGCCATGTTGAAGACTTGCCACCACCTGTCTTGCTGTGTGGATCATGCCACTGTGGATCATGTCACCATCATCCCGGACATACCCACGTCACATCCTGTCGTATCTCCTCACCATAGCATCAGTAGCATCACCACCACGAGTATGTCCAAGTGAAGTGCAGCGCTCGCTGTTGCATCGTGTCTACACAATGGTGCTCATCCGCTGGCCGCCTTGTGCGCTTATCGTCCGTGTGTTTCCCGTACGCCTTGCTGTATTCTCCCACCGCAATCTTAATGTCAACTTACACACACGCACACACACACATACACACACACACACACACACACACACACACACACACCGCAGCACACCACATATCTATATTTACCATGCCCTTTTCGGCAGCAGCTGTTCATAACTGCATTGATTCGTTGCAGAGCAGCAGCTGGACTCTGCGAGAGTTATCCCCGCTGCTGATTATGTTTACTTTGCTAATAAATTGCTATTGCTCTTGCTATTGTTATTTTAGAATTGCGATCAACAGAATTGCTATTGTTATAATTATGCTGCTTAGATCCACCAATTATGTACCTGATCTGAAGTGTACGTGTGATTTGTCAATGTGCCTGACTCCACATGTGTACATGTGCACAATGTTGGCTCTGCGCGAGCTTTATTCTGCAGTTTGCAATGAAGACAGTCCTTAATTTTAATGACATCATCACGTGTGTGTGGGGGGGGGGGGGGGGGCGCTCGTGTGTATGGAGTGGCAAACTCGTGCTTGTAATACCACTTCATACCAACATCTAGACGGGTGATGTATTGACCATGTAACCATAATAATGTCCTCTACCCACAATGATGATTGTCTTGGCATTCAGCTCACATTTGGGCAAATGGTTGGGACCAGGGTGGGAGTTTCAGGGCCATGCATGCTGGCTCTTCGGAGTTTGGTTACTTGCACGACGTGATGCCGTGTGCATAGTGTATAGTGCCGTGTGCATAGTGCCGTGTGCATAGTGCTGTGTGCATAGTGCATAGTGTCGTGTGCATAGTGCTGTGTGCATGGTGCATAGTGCATACAGTTTTGCTGATGTGGATTTACCTCACTCCTCGTCTCGACATTGCGGAGCAGAAGAACTGTCCGAATGAAATTCCATTCTCACAGCAAGCTTCCCTGTCATTAAAATAAAGTAATGTGACCAAGTATGTATACCCAAGAGTCCATAAAAATGTTTATGGACTCTTGTTGTCTTGGTATAACTAAAAAGAGGAAATTTGAACGAATACTGGTACAGCTGTACCAGTACATGTATTCACAACTCCCTGTCCACACCCTCTACAATCTCTACTTGTAAGTTGTAGGCCTCTGTGCATGATTTTGATGCCGTCAGTACACAGTTGTTGGTCCCAAAGGGCTCGGCGAGTCACACGGTTGACTGGCTCCTTATATGGCCAAGCGCCTGGGGTCATTGTGGTCAAGTCGCGTTCATATGCGTGTGTCTTTCAGCTGCCTCCTTAGCGCAGTAGGCAGCGCGTCAGTCTCATAATCTGAAGGTCGTGAGTTCGATCCTCACAGGGGGCACTTTCTTTTTCTTTTTTTTCTTTCTCCTGATCCTGATCTTAGTCCACATCGTTGCTAGTGCTGCGCTGTTGCTCGCTTCGGCTTTTGTTGTTTCTGCTGCTCTCTTTTGTACAGTTTTTGATGGTTTGCTTGTGTAGCTGTGTATCTGCAGTTTGTCATGCCTTGAGCACACTACACGGTAAGCCAACGCACGCACCCACACGGCCACACCCACCTGACCCCCACACACGCACACACGGGCCCGCATCCTTAAGTCAGTGCACACTACAAACGAAGAAAGTGTCACACACACACTGAAAGTGAAAGTAGCGTCAGCGAACCACACAAACACCAACGAATGCTGATCACACCGATTCTGCCACACTGTTACATGCACTTGAAGTACAGTGCTGGCAACTGAAATCCGACCCCTGCGCGGTGGGTTCACATTCTAGCGGTCTCTGTTTCGTAGTTTTACCATCCCGTGTTGGGTCTTTGCGATGTGAGCGCACCGCTGAGGGGGTCGGATTTCAGTTGCCAGCACTGTATATGGCTGCACAGTAGCATACCGTGGTGTACCACGCACTGCTGCTGTCACGCCGTGCCCTGCTATGGGCCTAAGCAATAGTTCGTCTTACACCGAGTACTTACCTAGCAGATGACACACTCCATACTGTGTTCACAGTCCGTGGAGTTTGTGTCTTTTGCCAGTTTTGGCAATGGAGCAGCTGCGCCGGCAGGCTCGGACGCTGTCTGGTCACGTGACTTGAGATCTCCGGCATAACGACTATTGGCAGTATTGCCAGCAGGCATATGCAACTAAGAGTACAGCCATGAAACCTTGGTTTCATGCAGGGAGTCGTAAAATACCGGTATTTTACGACTCCTTGGTTTCATGTACATGTTGTAGCTGCGCCAGGGAGTCCTAAAATATCTTATCAGTAGAGCTGATTACACCACTCCCTCCCTGTCTCGCCTATAAAGATAGAGGACGAGCTCACCATGCTGGCCGTCACTTCTCTCAGGCTGAAATAAAACACTGTTTTTTTCGTCCGTACCCTCGACCTCGGGCAGTGAAGGATGTGTGCCTGCAGCACACTGACTGCCATCACGCTGTTCTCTGTCCTAACATGATGCGGTCGGTGTCCACTATCCATCATGCAGCATGCTGCACAACCCCACGAACACTGAGCAAGCTGAGACTTGCAAGCTGAGACTTGCAAGCTGAGACTTGCAAGCTGAAACTTGCAAGCTGTTGTCAGGTCGAACAGGCATTGCAAGGCTGCATGGCATTGAAACGCTTCCGAGCTGCGTCCCAGAAATCGCCTATCCCAATCAGATGATTACATTCCCTGTCGGAGAGACCAGCAATATCCCGCGGGTCGGTCAATTTCGTGCAGTCGTCAACACCACCCCAGGACAACATTAGCAACAATTTAGCTCAGAGTGAATCCAGGGCACTACTAGCTTGAGGACAGCAACATGTTGTCAGGGCTTCTTGCACACGTTGCACAATCCATCATGGCGGCAGGAACGTGCAGAACAGCACCATCATTGTCGTCGTCGTTGGAGGCAAGATGCTCGCGGCGAGAAGAGACACAAATCACGCGTGTGCGCGGATGCGGCTCTATCCACAGTACCTCGGGGCAGTCGGTCAGTCTGGGAGCTAGGTGTGCTGCAGGTGCAGTCGGTCAGTCTGGGAGCTACAAGTAGGTGTGCTGCTCGTGCATGTTCTAGGCTCTCGGTTGCAGACGCACCGCAATGACAATGTTCCTACCCTGGCTATGTCAGTGTACAGTGTAAGTAGGCTACGAAGGAAGCACGCAGAATGCTATAGCGCAGACTTGGAGCAATGGATACGGTAGTAACAACCAGGGAGTAGTACAATAGTATTGTACTACTCCCTGGTTGTTACTAGAGTATTATAACCTCCCAGACCAGAGGCTTATACATGACTGTACACTCTTGGCACTGTAATAATCATAACCATTCCACTCAACCCCATCATGCACCCACGTCCACTAGCGCTGGCAGGAACATTTCACGCCTACGGGTAATAGTATTAGTAATACATGCACATGCAATGTACCATTTCGGCGCTGAACATGAGGAGTGAAGCCCCCACATGCGCGTGGACATGATGATTTGGGTTTGTATTTACTTGTGTTTGAAACGCTAAGACTGGAGAACGACATGAACTCTGAGAAGGTTTACCGTTCCTCGGCATACCAGGGATACTACCTGGGAAAGTGGTTGCTTCCAGATTCCTACACCGGAGCTCGCGCTTTCCCGTAACGATATCAACTTATACCTGATATCATTATCTGGGAATCATATTATATTAAAATTAAACTCTGTATTAAACTCCTTCTACAGCACTTATAATACTGTATGTATGCACAGGTAGGGGAGGAGGGAGTGGTGGTGTTTGTGTGTGCAACGGGCAGGGCGGGGGGGGGGGTGTATGCACAGGACAGGGGGGGGGGGGGGTTGTATGCACAGGTACAATCATATGTATAGCGTCATGTACCGTAGTAGCAATGGAGTTCAACTGTCGAGGTGCTGACTATTGCCCTGATGTCGTAGTGTTGTGGCTACGTTGTTACCGTTCTTGTCTGTGCTGTTGTACATAAGCATGAACATAATGCATGATCATGTACCACAGACACGTTAGCATTGTGTTTTACATCATGTATAACAACACACTGATTGTGTACCGCAAAGAGCACTCGTGTGCCTCTTCGAATTCTGCAGCACGGGCGTGACATTATTGTCTCTGCGTGCCCACTGCCCAAGCGTCGCTGCATGGACAGCCTGTCATTGTCAGACGAGACACGTGTATGTTTCTCACACATACCATCAACATTCAAGATAATGGCCACATGCTTATTTTCCTGGGAGAGAGAGAGAGAGAGAGAGAGAGAGAGAGAGAGAGAGAGAGGGGGGGGGAGAGAGAGAGAGGGAGAGAGAGAGAGAAAAGTTTGATGCTCTTCTTCCTACCAGACGGTAATCGGTTCCTATTACTATTAAACACAGGTACTTTGTATCAGAATCACACGTCTCCTTTTGCAAGTTTGGTGTAAATTCCAACTGTTACTTGGCATAATCAGCATTCGCACGTATGATTCCGCTGAATGTGAGATCCAACTAATAAAGAATACATACATACATACATACATACATACATACATAACACGACACGTGTTTTCACTGGCCATGTAATACCAGGGAGGGGTAAACTACTGGTGGCGAATCGTTTTTTTATCCCAATAATTAATTAAAACCATCAAAAATAGGGCATAGAGCAACAGCAAATGAAGGTAAGTACGCAAGAAACACCCAATGTGCTATAAAAGAAGACGAAAAGAAAGAGACAAAGAGTGAATGAAGTCTCACACACTTTTCAGTGAAGAGCATAACATAGAAACCACAATAAAAGCGATCAAACCCCATTCAAACGTGGATACACCACGGTACCCTGCTGGTGTTACTACAAGACTATCCGGAGCATTGACTCTGCGTAATTATTTGCCCACAGGCCTTTTTGAGGCTGACGGAGGCTCTGTGATCGAGCGCACTGCATGAAACACCCACCCAGTGACACCGAGCTGTCATCAACACAATGAAAGAATTTGGCAATGAAAGAATTCACAAATGTAGGCGGAATCGGCCCATCCCTAATACCACTGGACATGAATCAAAAACAACCATTGACAGCTGTTGCCAAGTTTGTCCTGTTTGGATTAAAACCATGAACGATGTACGCGTGTACCCTTTGTGCTCGCCAACACGAACCGTCTCCAAGCTGTCCTTTCTTTTGTAGTCGTGCGGGGCGGGGTGGGACCAGCGGCAGTAGGGCATTGGCAACTCGTCATGTTATGCAAATGACGCACAATCAGGGCATATTCCCGCTACTTTGCACGACAGACAATTACATCGTGCCGGAACAACGACTACATACTCCCTAGGAAGTGCTGGATAGTAGTCTGCAGATGAAGCACGCCACTTTTAGATGTGAAAGTGAGACAGGATGCGATGGAGGTTGGATTTATCCTGACCAGGAGCGTATCAACATGATAACGGCAGGATACGAGATCTCACTCACGGCCGCTCAGCGTGGTCATGGCTGTCTCCACCGCTTTCC